GACACAGTAGGTGCTGAGCCAAGGCAAAACACAACATAAACAGGTTAAATAATTAGGCAATCATTCTGACTGGGTTTTGTTTCCTGTAGCCAAGGGATGCCTTTGATGGATCACAGTGTATTTTTACTCAATGTAAATGGCATTAAGAGGTGATTGCTCTGTTATGCCCTTAAGGTTAACAGATGCTTTATAGCCAGCTGCATGGGAGAATCACTGTGTATGCTCCTCATGAAGCAGCAATTCACTTTAGCTGCAGACAACAGCCTCTGTAAAATGTTTCAACATCTAAGCATAAAGCAGGAAGGAAAAGCGGAGGGGGTGTAGGGGAAAAAAAACCCCAAAAAATAAAACTAGAAAACCCCAGCCTCATTCTTCCCTTCACAGGTCATGTCAGCTATGCCTGTACCATTGCTAAGGCAAATTTTGGCTGTGTCCACTAAGGAACAACCTCACAGACCACTTTAAGTGAGGCCCACATGTGGCACTGCCCATGCTGCAAGCAGAGCTGCTAGACAGTGAATATGATAAAGCGCAAGCAGTGACAAAACACTGCCTTACTGAATTTATTTGTTAGGAGCAGTGGATGGCCATGGTGTAAGGTCAGTTCTCTTGCTAAGCTGTCACTGCTACAACTCCTCCATAATGAAAAAATAGTTTTCCTTATTTCAAAATAAGGAAAATTCGTATTTCCTTATTTTGTCATTGATATTCACTCTATGGTGCCAAAACAGTCAGGATCTATAAACCCTTAATTTCCCCCAGTCATCCTTATCACCAGAAGATTGTTTTCTGAAAGGAAACATAAAATGGCAGAAGAGTGAGCAGAGACAAATAGGTAAATTAGTTAAAGCTATACAGGCATCTACAGAATAACTTCCCTGATTTAATATTTCTGCACGCAAAGAAAAAGCAATCAGTGTGAAAGAACAGAACATGTGATGAATACTTGGCAACTGATACAGAGCAAGACTTCTAATGACATTTTCACTGGATTTCAGAGATCCTACCATGCCTCATTATATGCAACCTGTAGCCTTCTCTTATGGAAGGAGGCTTTGAGAACAGGAAGGGTAAGAGGAAAGCACATTTACTGCCACGTGTGTGGAAATAATGACCTACACAATTTGCTTTTTATCCCCGTTTCCTTCCTTGAGGTTTCCTCACTGTCATGACACATTTCACAGATGTAAGAATGACCAAGAGTTGGACCTCTTGTTATACCATTCTGCTATCTATTGAAATAAAAGCTAGAAGTAGCCAAAAAGTTAAAGCTATCAGATTATTCTGGGGATGAAATTCTATTCACATATGCTCTAGAGCCAGGAAGATTTATGAGCCCATTTCCCACAGATATCAGTGGAAGATTACTTTGGCCACTTTTTCTTGTGGTAGCAGACCAGATTATATTGTGTCTCATAACATTCTTCCCCTCTCCTGCTCTAAGAGTTTTTCATGACATCCTACAAATGCCACCTCCATTGCAACTGTTTGAAAGTAAAATGAAAATAAAAAAACCAAAAGATCTTTCCTGTCCCTTCCACCCCATGAGTTTTTCCTGCTAATTACAGAGTTACTTTCTAAAATATCAGATCCTGCACAGCCTTCCAATTTCTTTGGAGAGTGCAGGGCACTTATGCTGGTGCCAGAATGATACAAAATAACACCCCAGGCTTACTAAGACAGGGCAGTAATTCAGGGACTGCAGGTTAGAAATCTCTGTGAATCAAATAATACTAAAGAGGAAAATCTGTTCCACTAAATTGCCAATTGTAAATGCGTGAGTTGAACAAAAACATTTTCTCATTTCCCATAACTGGGGAGTAAGAGCAGATATTGTCTATGCTCAGACTGCAGCAGGTAAATGCTTAACATTAATAAAAATGTCATGTGTATAAACACAGATCCCATTTCCAATAACGTGTTTTGTTCACTGCTCTCTCATTTCATAGTGGACACAAGGCTACGTTAAAAGATTCTGAAAACATAAAACAAAAAATTCAATTTTATGACTCATGCTTTAGATAAAGGAAACTAGATAAAGCAACCTGAAAAAGGTAAAAAAAATGAAGCAATTCAAGAGAGAATGAGAGAATTTGACCACCACCACCACGGCCTCTATGAGATTAGCTGGAACAACAGCACCATCCCCTGCCCACATGGCAAATGGCACAGGCCTGGAGAAAATGACACTCCTGTCCCATTTGGGAAATGGGAATTCAACTCACTCCACTGACACCCAGAGCAACTGGAGCTGTGATGACAGGCACTAAAAGATGAAACAAGGCTTTGCACTTAGCTCTGTTTGCTGACTACAGCAACACCTCTTGAAGGCACAGCTAGAAAAAGCCTTGTATGGTTTATGTGCAGCCACTCCGTGAGGTTTCAGTGTTTCTGCAGGTGCTTTGTTGGGACAGGAACAAAATAACCACATGCCAAAAGCTTTTCTGAGACAAAGAGGTGAAGCCTTTTCATCTTCATGTCAGAAGTGCCATGTCAGGATGAATTACAGACAGTGGGCAGGTGAGTTACTTAGCAAATGCTGTTTAGTCACATTCCATGTACCTATTCCAGGTAAGCTATCAAATGGCATTTTCAGAGGACACCAGAAATACCCCCACACCACCAAAGCTGTGACCCACCACTCCTCACTGTAATGACTCACCAGCTCTCTGACTTCTAGATGAATTCCATACTAAACCAAAAAGAAGAGTTATTGCTTAGGCTTTTCATGCATAACACTGCCTTGTTCATAAATTACTGCTTTCAGCATGTATTTGAGTAACTGGATGCCCACAGCAATTCCAGCTGTCAGGGAACTGAAGTGGGATAAAGAAACAATATGAATAGCACTTATGAATCTAAACCAAGCAAAATCATAACTTGATAAGCATCAATAAGAAAACTGAGGGAAAAGAAATGAAGTAAAGAAGCTCATAATTTCCTTTCCCACCATACACTCCGTTCAATACTGCAAAGATAAACATGCTGTGAAAGCAAATAAAGAATTCCATACTTCTGGCAGTAAAATAGGAGCCCCTTAAACACTTTCCTGTGGGGAGAAGAGAAACAAAGCAGGAAGGGACAGCAGTTCTTCAGGGAAAACCAACAATATTGTACTTACTGAAGTTTGCTTTAAAACAGATTCTTCATAGGTAAAGAGGGCTGATTTTACTGCTTGTTCTCAAATCTTTGCAAATTGACTTTGTAAAGAGATTGATAGGATTTCTCAAAACTTCTGAACTGGGGCAAAATGAAAACAACACAAATTTTCATTACTCAAAATCACAAGATGGAGAGAAAAAGCCAAACACACCAATGATTAACTATTGCCATAGAGCAAGTAATTCATTGGCAGCTATTATTTAAAGCTCTTAGGAATGCACTGTACTGAAGAGTCCAAATCTCGTATTCCTAGAGGGATGTTACACAATAAGTACTACAAATATTGCAATTTAATTAACTTCTTCACACGTTAATTAAACCTCTTAGAGTAAGACAGGTTCTCAGACTTTGTTTTCTCTGTTTAATTTCTTCAAAAGGGAAATTCAAAGGCTTTTGCCCATTTGCATCTTAAAACTTCCTGCACATGACTGACACCATACTGACCCCTAACAACTCCTAGTCAGAGTCACTACTTACAAATTCTGCAAGCAATTTAGACTGTTCCATTTAAATCATAAGCATCAGGTTTTTAACAAGGGTCAGACTCTGCTGGAATAGCTTCACAAGTGAACCAAAAATCTAGCAAAGAACTGAAAACAGATCATGAAGATCAGATAGTGCTTTCCTAAGAATTCTAAAGAAACTGAAGGAAGCTGAAAATTTTTATATAGTGTCTAGTCTCTAAAGGAGAAGAAATCAGTGCCTTAAAGATTTCTGTACATGATTTTGCCTTGGCAAATTTTAAGCCATTAAAAAAAAGAGAAAAAAAAAAGGATAAAAACCATAACCACCAAAAACCCCCAAAACCTCCTGTTATCCCAAGGTATTCCCAGGTCAGTGGTCATGCCAAGCTGGCAGCGTGTGCAGCTGGCCACGTCATTCCAGGATAAGTAGCTGTAAATTAACAACCCTTGCTAACACATTTGGAAAGGTTCCACAAAAAGCAAAACTGACAAACACTGACAATTCATTTCAGGAAAGGGAAGAAAACAAAATCTGAACACAATTTAATTTTTTCTTCTGCATATTTTACACTGAAAACAAAGCACTTAGCAAGAGATCATAACAGTACTAACTTAGCATTACAATATAAAAACTTAAACTTTACATTTATTCAATATGAAATATTTAAAGCTCTTAACCTGTGAAGAATCAGTTTCAGGAGGACTATTAAAATGTGCAGTTTCTGCAGCTGATGTGACTGACTGACAAGCCAAGTTTAGAGCCATGGTGTTCAGACTTGACCAAGGCATGAAAGAGAAGCCTCTTTATTCTCCTTCACACACGACAATTTGATTTTCAGATCCAGTCATAAATGCTGAACCAAAGCAGAGAATTCAAGGCAGCCCACACAACGGGCTGGTGTTTCTCTCACCCTGCGCTCTGCTCCCTGATAACCTGAGGGGAGGGATGCTGAAACCATCCTCCTTTCCCACAAGACCCCTGAAGAACTGATCCCATCTCTTCTTCACCTGCTTCCATCCCAGACATCCTTGACTGCTCCTAGAATGCAGCACATCTGCTCTACTTTGGCCCTGCACAGCAACTCTCCTTCCTTCCCTGCCTCAGCTTTAGAGGAGAAGAAAAACACAAAATGAGAATGCAATGCCCAAGCAAGAACCAACGTTTGGGTTTTCCAACTGCACTAGCCAATGGCATCACCACAGCACCCATATCCTAGGCTAGACATGAAAATGGAGAGCTGCAAAACCACATGGATACTTCAAAACCTCAATAATGGGAGGAAATACATACCAACAGTCTGAAGCAGTGAAGTCATATCAAAGGGAAAATATATCAAAACATGAAATTAGATTAAAAACCACATACAACTGTGATGAGAGGGGAAAAATTTATTGGTCCTTTAGAAATCCAATGATTGCTTGTAATATGTTCAGCAAATTCATTCCAATATTACATATAAAGGATTTCCTTGCTTGCCACGTTAGAACTAGCTTAACACTCAGTGGAAATGTAAGGAATAAAAAGCAAAAAAGGATAATCTTGAATTTATTGTGAAATACATTATTATTTTTTCCTATTCCAGCGAAACACCTGTAAAGAACTGGGTTCTGTGCTCAGCACCCACTTTCCATGAAGGTGACTCTTGCAGATCACAGAAGGCACTTGGTACTCCTGGAAGTTGGGACATGGGGACAAGGAGGGATAACAAAGCGCTCCTTTTTACTAAGTGCAATCCTAGTATAAATTCAAGCAGCCACAAAGCATTAAGATACAAAACCTCAGGCAGACATGCTAATGAAGGGCTGCAAAGCTGGAGTACAAGGAGAGCTGCGTGTCCCCTGCCCATCAGTCATCGTCCCCACCGCAGAGGAGCAGCAGCGCTTTCCTGTAGTCCCCGGACGTGTCTTTCTGTCAAGGCAGGACAGCGGCACCGTGAGTCACCAGAGCAGCTTCCAAGGAGGGCCCCAGCCTGTCACACATTCATCCCACCCACAGGAAATCCACACAGATGACTCTCCACTCAGGAATGACACAAGGAAATTCTCTCTCTTACACGAGAGCTGTATTTACACAGACAGACTGCCAGAGATAAAAATCTCCAAAAGCTTTACTAGAAAACAGAGCTGCCCGTTGCACATTTGACACATTTGTCTGCAGGGGAAAGTAAAAAGGAGAAGCCCAAAGCAGCACCAAAAGCAACACACGGGCAAAGTGCACCTGCCACTGCCCAGAAAGGCACCAGCTCTGCTCCCTGTGATCACTGGGAAGCTCTGATATGACATCCATATCGGCCTGGCAGGCATTGCCAAAAAGAAATGCCACTCAGGCTAGTTAAGGGAGCATAATGTCAGGAATGACAATAGAAAAATAGTAAAAAAGCAGGGCTTTCAGTGTAAAACAAGAGGAAAAAAATAAAAGCCTTTTGGCTTAACTTTGCAGCAACAGCTAGCTCCAGATTTCTTGCTGGCTCCTTCCCTTCCTGCTCCTTCCTATCCACTCAAAGGAAATTATGACTCACAGTGAAACCCTCTTCACTTGGAAATGTTGCAAAGGGAACCACACCACAACCCAAGATCTAAACTTCAACCTCATGGTAATTCAGACTCCAACCCCCAGTGTTATTTCTCTGGAGCCAGCACCCTCTCTGAAGTACTGCACAATCAGGAACCCAGACAAGAACAAGGAAATGATGCAGTAGCTAAACGTGGTGTATGAGTAATTGCAATTTCAGAAAACCACATCATCTGCCCTAGCAAACACTGGAAGTGTTCCTTTTCCATAGGAAGTGTCCCCCACTTCAACAATGCCATGTCAAAACTGCAGAGGAACTCAATCTCAGAGTCCAGGTCACCCAGCTCTACCCACACCCATCCTCTGCCAAGAAAAACAACAGTGAAAACAGTGATCTCAATCACCCCATGTTCTCAAGAACAGAACAGTAATTTTACCTGAATCATTTGATACAATGATTTCGCAAAATTCTTTCTGAATTCTTGTCTAATATCCAGCAGATCAACTTCACTTCTTGAAACCATGACTCTGATCAGGGTCTCATCATCAGTGCCAGCCCCCTAAAGAGAAAAGATCAAATAACTTTCAAGTATCAGTCTGTTCTGGACAGATGCTGCAACACAACATGAAATATGAACAACCATGGTACAACATGAAAGCAACAAGTGGCATCTCAAACCACTCCTGCCCTACAGTTCAGCTCCAAAACAGAGAATATTCGGGACAATATTATGAGACATTCGCACTGAAATGTGGGGAACAGAGGAGCTCTGATCCCTGGACCTCTATCAAGTGCCAGATGCTCAGGCCTCTTAGTTCATGTTTCATCTCAGGCTTCAACTGCAAATGCCCACATAAATTTACAAGACCCCAGTTGCAAGCTCACACAGTAGCACAGCTGCTCACCACAATCAGAATCACATGTAAATCCCCCCTGCAGAGCACCCTCAGGCTGCAGAACTGCAGTCAGTTCTGGAACTGGGCACCTCAATCCCAGCAGTGACCAGTACAAAGCAACATCACACAGCAGGACACAGGCAGAGCAACTCATCCCACAAACTCTCCACCTGTTTGTTCATTGTGGGGGCAAAGCTTCACAAACCTTTTCCAACCACGCAAACATGCCCCACTCTGTTCATCATGGTCAGTGCTTGAAACATTTCACCTTCCTGTGCAGGCCAAGGCCCTGACCGCTCTGCTCAGACAAGGCAGACTCCACACAAGCTGAAGCTGTACAAACTTTGATGTGCTGACCTGTGGATGCACCTCAGGGAAGGACTTGGCAGAGCCCCCACGGTCATCTTCAGCCTAATGTCCAGGGCCGCTCAATCCTTCTGGGTGCAATATTCTTGGATTACACCTAAAAGTGCCCTAAAGCTGCTCAAAAGTTATGCCATGAGTCCGGTGGTTTCTGAGGAATAAAAGCCAAGCTCTGCCATACCAAATCATGAAAGCCAACTCTGCCCAGTGAAGAACCTTGTTATGCCTAACCAATAAATTAGAAGTACAAACTCCTCTGTCAAAGTAATAATTGACAAATCAGCTTTCCTATCTGAAGTGCTGAATGATTTTTATTTTAAAAAAAAGTGGGGGATCCCACCAGCACACATTGGTGAGGCTCCTCACAACAGAAGTGTGTAAGAATCTAAAGCCTACAGGAAAATTGCATTCTTTAAAAAATAAAAATTAATTATTGAGAAAAAAGTAACCCTTCTCAGGCAGTTCAGCCTACTGATACAATATCTTTTATTTTTCACCTAAACCTTATTCTGCATTGGTATCCACAGAAGCAGTAAAGGACTTCTAAAAATTAAGCTATAATTTTGTCTCATCGCTAACTCTCAAGCTGTCACCTCATCTTCTGACAAACATACTTCAGGGCTCTCCAGCAAGGGGAAGGGAGGAATTCCTCAGGGAAGCTGATAACTTGCCAAGTTGCCTGAAAATAACAGAGTACCTGCCTCTGGTTTAATTAACATTATCCACTGGAAGTTAAAAATTACAGCTTTCCCTACTTATCTCTTGCCATCCAGGAGAAGGTGAAGCCAACAGAAACATGGATGCACTGCTAATGCAATACAAACATTTTATATTATATTTTATATTGTAAAAATCTTTAGCAGCTGTTTAAACCTTTGCTTTCTCTGCTGAGTTTCTTCTGCTTCTGGATAGTAACCTAAGATGTGTTCCAAAGCTACCCAATGCCCTCAGTCAGTAAATACTCACGTCCAAATCAAAGAGTAGCAATTTGCACAATCTACAATTCTTTCCTTCATCAGTACACCCACCACCTAAAGACACTGCAGTTAAATCAGCTGGGAAGTATCCAGTAGATACTGCCAGGCACTTTACAATGTAGCAACACCAAATCAAAAAACAGCTGATGAGACTAAAAGGTTTGTCTGTGGTCTGACAAATCCACAAAGAACACCAAGGAAACTAGGAATTGTTTGCATCCTCTCCCAGCCCTGCACTCCTTGAACCTTCTGCAGACACTTAGTGATACTGTCAGCATTTACAGGGCAGAAGAAATTAAGAACAACCTAAAGGGAGAGGAATCATAGCTGGAAGAGATGGAAAGTGACCTAGGGAAAACATTTACATACCTTCATGGAATAATACAGGGTCTCAGCAAAATAGGCAGGCACACTTCGGATGCATTTCACTGGAAAAGACAAATGATGGAATTAATGACTGCTATTAAATACAGGGCAATCTCTGATTGCCATGACAAGGTGTGTGTCACTGGGTTATTCTCTCCAGTGGTGTCACCTGGTCTGTTCCTCTGTTACAACTCTTTGGGTTCTGGGATTTAGAACATACATTTATTTCTGACAGAGAGACTTTACTAGTCAAACTCTCCAACACTGTCCTAGATAAGCTGCCAGGAATACAGGTGAAGGCAGAGCTCTGTCTCAGCTCTGGCAGAAGTGCACATGACCAAACAGAATGCAGTTCACCACCTCTTCTCCAGACATAAAAATAGATCCCAGGTGATTGATTACCTTTCTAAAGGAACCCTGTTCTCACACCAGCCTCTGTGACAACTGCAATTTCAGGAGGCCTGGGAGTAAGCAAAGGCAGCCTAGTGCTAGACATGCTAGGACTCAATTACCCACTGCCAGAAGCAGCTTCTCCAGATCACCAGAGGTCTCACGGTCAATGGTCTCTTCAATCTGGAAGCCAGAAATTGTCATGTACTTGTCAAACACTGCAAAACAAAGTGTGCTTGGTCAGGGAACATCCAACATTCCTGCCAGTGCCCCTCCATTCAGGACAATGCCACCTGTGTGTTATCCACAGCTCAGGTGCCATTGGCCACTCACTGTCTTGTTCTGAGCACCAATTTCCCATCAGATGCCCCCTGTACAGCCCCTCCCTGCACCTGGAAGGAACAGCTCCATGCATTATTCCCAATGGCCTAAACGGATTGATAAAAGATACTTCTGGATGGGCAAGGAGCAGGGATAAAGGTATACTCCCTCTATTATCAGCTCATAAAGTAGGCACCTTGATATGGGCTGAGCTTTTCCAGGCTGGATTTCAGGCAGAAGCTCTCAATCCCTCATTAACCACACTACCTACCCCTTCTCAAGTGGGAAACGCTGCGGGTTCCCAAGATCGTGATGAACTTTTCTTCATCCGTTCCCCATTTCAGCTCCCCAGCTCTGAACAAAACCTGTTATGAATTCAAGAGATCAAAACATCAGCATTTGTTTTGTGCCCACATATCCTGTTGAAAAGCTCCATTTGTCTTACTCTACAGAGCATTAAGTTTACTAACAAGCTATAGCTGGAGGGAAAAAAATGAAATTAAATTGCCAAGTACTGAATTTTAGAAATAAATGAAAAAAAAATCTGAAATTGACTGTGAAGGCATTCCCATAAGTAAAGCAGCTTCAGGCCCTGAAACTCTGCATAGTCCTCTTCATAAGGACTGAAGTTTGCTGAAACTGTGATAATACAGCAGATAAAAACTACTCACAGCGCTGCCTTTTCTGCCCTTTTTGCCCTTCCCTTTTTCAAACAGTAGCAAAAATTTGTTACATGATAGCTCTTCAACAGCAGAACCAGGACAACTTGGCGCAGGAGGAAGTTCTCCAAGAAGGAGGGGAAGATGGGTCTAGAAGCTCTCAGAAAGAGGATTTTCAGGCTGATAAATTCTTAGTTGTTTGAAACTAGATTTGAATCATGGTTTTAGCACATTTTTGGTTTTTCAGGCAAGTCTGTATTTGATGCAGACAAAGACCTGGATGCATTTTCAGCACCAGGAAAGTAAAGCACTTCAAAAAGTAGGAATGAGTAAGAGCCAGGAGAAAATGAGAAAGGAAAAGAAATTGGGAAAATGAAACAAGTTTTTTCCTGACGGTTGGAAAACTTTGCCTTTTTCCAAACTGTGTGCTAAGCACTCTGTAAGAAGAAAGGCTGTACATATTGCAGTGTATATGATCTTTTTAATATTAATGGTACAGAATGAAAAAAAGGTGGAGAGGAAAAAGCTCAAGGCACTCAGTGCCAGGATATTTATTACAAATAACATATGCTAAGCCCTCCAATGAATACCAGCACTCTCCATCCAGTAGCAAATGAGAAGTCCCAGTACAGCATTTAGAAAAATATCAGCAAAAGATTGAGTTAGAGATACTAGAAGTTGCAAACAGAACTTGATGTCAGCTTTAAGTTTGTACCTGCCTTGCCACTGGGCAATACACAACACTTACCTCAACTGTATAACTTTAAAGAAGTGATAGTCACAAAAGCTCTTCCAAAAAGTCAGACTTTCTCCTTCAGGCAGTCTCAGAAAAGTCTTACAATTGCTTTGAATTAATATTTAATAATCATAAACAAAAAATTTAAAAATCACCACTGAGCAAAAAGTTGGCTTTCTAATGTACCAAGTCCTTTCCAGAATACATGACTCAAGGAAAACATTGGGAAGCCAAAAATACTCCTACATCTGCATAGTCATGTACCTCAGTTCTGACCATCTGTACCTGGCAATAGCAATTAGAAAATGACTGAATCTGTTCCAGCTGTGTTGGGTGGTGAATGGAAAAGTCCATTGACTTGAGGTCCCAGCTCAAGTTAAATGTATGCAGCAAACCACAGAGGCTGTCTGGAAAACCAGGATCTTTTCAAGATCCTGGTTTGGGGTCTCCTAAATCTAGCTGCTCATTTAAACCCAAGTGAAGGGGCCAAAAGGAATCTGCCTGCCAGCGCTTCACATGTTTCCTCAATTACACAGGCCCAGCCAAAAGCAAGAGTGAAAATTTCATGGAACAGTCTAGTTCACGATTCAAACATTTGCCCCTCTAATTTTCCAGCTGTAGTTGTCACAGGAAATTAACAGCAGAACAACAATGCTTTCTGCATTTAAGTGACAAAGGATAGGCCTGTACCAGTAAAATATATTTTGCCAATCTGTCTCTCCATCTTGTTGTGCTATCAGGAGAATGTTTTATTGATCTAATATTCTGTGCTTACTCTGTGTCACCTTGAACAATCCCTGTATTTCTTTCATCTCAACAATTTATGAGAGAAAAATGCCTCATGCAGAGTTGTCTGAAGTAACTGAGAAGAAACATGTATTAAATGAGTTGTAATCAAATTGCTGAAATATCAACCATCACTCCAGCAAAGCGAATGGCACCCAGCAAGAGACTGGTAAGGAGACCAATTAACTGCTGGCATTCCTTTCCATCCAGAGCACAGGGTTAGGGAGCAGTCATAGACAAGGGATTCAATTCAGAGCAAAGTCCAAGTCAGGTATTAAGGAATGAACTGTTAACATCTGAGTTTTCTAGCAGTGGGTCCCTCAGCATCACCAAGGCTCAGCCTCTCTTCCAATGACCTATCCATTGTTTTATTCAGGTCCCTCATTAAGTAATAAGCAAAACTGAAGTGTGAAAGTGCAAAATATTTTGATTCCAGCATTTCAGGTTTTGACAGTTCTTCTGTCCAGAACATACAAAAGCACAAGAAAAGATATAAGAAAAACAGAGAACCTTAACTATCACTTTCACATTTGAATTCCAGCTGTTTGCCATCTTTGTGAGATAACTCAAAATACCCCAAACCCTGAGTCAGTCACCCACCTGAGCATCCTGCTCAACAAGAGCCTCATCAACTCCAACATCAGGATCTCTGTTCGCCTAAACAGAAATTCAGAAGTTGTTAAACTCAAGAATTAGCAGGTAAGTCAAAAAGCATTTATCTGTTATAGTGAGCCTGTAAGTAACTGTGACAAGTCACCTCCTAATGCATCTTTTCCAAAACCACCTTGTTTTTCCCTTTTGCTTGCATGTGTCTGAATGAAATAAGTGTCCTCTTCCCCTTTTGTGCTCAAAACCCCACGTAGCAGCACCTGCTACACCCATGGCCATCACAGTAGTGGTTTGCTTCAGTGATATGGAAATGACTCAGAAGAGAGCCCGAGGCTGACCCTGCACGTCAGAGGAAGTGCCTCAGCTCCAGAGGCAGTCCTGCCTAGCACCGGGCCCATCCCAAACCCAGCTTAGCAAGCAGGAAGTGCTAAGTGCACCTAGGAGTGAAAGCCATCCCACACCAGCACACCAACCTGCAGCAGCACCACCAGCAGCCTCTGGAAATGGCCTGATGTTTCCCCTGTGATCTTATCCTCCAGTTCAGCTTCATACTCTGCAACAGCAACATTCACTCAACACCTTGCAGGCTCCCTCGCTCTTTGGAGGGGAGAGCAAGAACAGGCAAAAAGTCCACTTGATTCATAATTTGTAGAATCGTCTATCAGAAACATCTTTAACACTCAGGACATATTCCACTTTCACTTACATAACACTAAAAATGGAAGATGGAGCACCTCACACCTCATGTCAGGAACAGATTATACACAATATTTTCAAGTACAAGGTGACATACATGGATTCAGCTCCTTAAGGAACTAAAGGGGATACAGACATGGAGTCATGCTAAAATATGTCAGTCTCACTGCACAAAAACCATGAGCCCAGAAAAGTTTACTACTAATAAATTTTTTCCCTAGAGACTCTGCGTTTGGGCTCAAAATTTGTTAAAACATGAGAATTTCTTGTGTGGCAGGAATCTACACAGAGCTAAAAGAAATCTGTTGAATTAAACATTGCCCTGAAAAACAAGCTCACAATCACAGGGTAAAAGCATCTACTCCTGTGGACAGCCAAAAGCTGAATCTGCTTTACCATAAGTGCACTTGAACACAACATAGAGCAAAAGGCAAAAAAAATCCCACACTTGTTTTTTAATGTAATCTGTTTTCTTGTTTCCAACTACTGAAAATTCAGTCAAAGGGATGAAAATAATGGGTGGAGGAAATAAATACTTTTGAAAGAACTCTAACTATGAAGCACGAAGCACCACAAACTGCAGTAATAACCCTGAAATAAAAACCATTTCAATTTACAATTCAAATTCTAGTTCCTTTCAATATGAAGTTATGCAACACAGCAGAAAGAATTCCCTCATGTTGGACACATTCATCAGTTCAGGCACAGACCTTATTTGAAAGATGAGCTAAAATAATATTAAAGGAACTGAACAGAGACCCTTTTATGCAGAAAATTACCTTGCTGATAAACCTGTTTAATATTCTGCACTTCTGCAGGTGTTCTGGAGGCAAGAATTTCAGTCAACACTTTCTCATTGGTTCCTGCTCCCTGCAGGGGTGCAAGTACGAATCAGTTGATGGAATAACAAAATTACAACAAGAAATCCCTTTGACAATCAAAACCAAGCACATACTTATATATTTGGATCAAATAAACAAAAAAAATATTTTCTCTGATATACTGTGGGGGTTTTGAAGACAATTTCTTCCAGTTTATCTTGACTCTTTTCAAATCCAACCCAACAATTCATAAAACCCCAGTGCTGCAGGACTCAGAGGGGCCCTTTCACACCCAAGCACAGCCAGGTGTCACAGATGAGATGGCCACAACACACAGAGTGTCACCACAGAATTCCAGAAGGCTTCAACCCACACAGAGCAACACCCTGCTACTTCAGAAGCCTGCAAGCATCTGCCCTTCTTGTTCTCCAGCCCAACTTTTATCCCTTCATGCTGATGCCCTGCCCCTGTGTGCCCTCTGCTCCCTTTGGTGGTTGGTCAGTGCCCCTGGGCACTCCATGGCTCATTGCTGTCAGTGCTGCTCCCTGCTCCTCACAGCTGTGCCCACTGGGGATGAGGCTCAGCCCCACTCCCAACCACCACAAACTGTGTGCCTACACCTCAGTTCCTTGCTATTACAATCAAGGACATCAAGAGAACTGAGTGGAGTAAGTTTGCATCTCAGCTCTAATTCATACAGTGTCTGTCACCAGCCAGGACACAGATGAGCACAGAGCCACCCAGCACAGATCTGCAGCCTGCTGTGAACTGTGCTGTTAAACAAACCCCCTTCTTCCACTGGAAACAATTTACAACAGAATTGCTAACCCAGATAGTTCCAGCAATTCTGCAGTTCTTAATGACACCAGAACCAACAGCCGCTCTTTCACTTTTACAAGGACAGAACTTCAAAAAGCCAGGCCAGTATCCTGTTTCAACAAGTCTAATCCTTTGTTTGCAAGAATAATCCACTGCTCTTTTATACATACAAAGGAGTCATTTCACAAAAGCAACACTGAAATGCAATATTGAGCATTTTTTGCTTCAGCATGTTATTTACAACCGTTTTTGTAAGGAAAACATTGAATACTAAACACATACAAAGATATGCAACTGCACACAAAGCTATCCAGAACACAAACCTGCCAGGTTACAGGCAATCACTTCCAAAATGCAGATGGCTTCATGAACATGCCTACTCAACAAGGGAGGCAGGCACAGTTAAACTCACTCTAACTCAAGCAGCAGCAGTGAACATTGACGGGACAGCCTTCAGGACAGAGTCAGTGCTCTCAGCTGAGGTACCTTGCAGTGAAGTCCCTGCAATCACTTCTGCTCTACTGCTACCCCCCTTGGCTGAACTGCAGCCAGTACTGACATCCTTTCCTGTGCAAACACATTCTCTAAAATGCCATAGTCTTGAGTTTAACACCTTTTATTTTTCTAAGTGACAAGAACAAAACCACTCTTGTTTCACTATCTCTGCTTTCCCTCCTACACCCATCTGTTCTGTGATTTCCTCTTATTGATTTTAGGAGTCAATCTTTGATTCCTAATTCAATAAGAGGAGCTTGGGAATGCAATTTTTTTTATTAATCAACAAGGCCTTTATCAGTTGCTCTGTCAGGGACCACCATCCCTTCCCCCAGTGCACATAAAGGCCTTATAGAAAACCTCCAGGAATGAAGTTTCTGTTCCCTGAGGGACTATTTGCTGGGACACAGGTGCATGAGCACTTGCTTCCACTGTTGACTAAAGCCTACATATTAACCAGCTGCTCATCCAGGACCTTGGGAGTTTGCATGGAAGTGTCATTCCACAAAGCACTACCTCACACTAGAGTCAAGTTCAGTGTCCCCTATTTTAATCAATACTGTAAATAGACCAGGGACATCCAATTCCTGAAATTCCACAGATGTGACAGAGGCAGAAAAAAAGAGCACACAGAAGCAACACTGAAATTCTACACATCCACATTGTAAATTGTTTCTTTACCTGGCCTGCCCAGAAAGGCACTAAATGCACTCACTAAAGAGAAAATTTAGAAGGGTAGCACTGACAGACCCATCAATGATTCCCTCTGTGCTACTGAAGGCAGTTTTTTAGAGGTCATTCAATACTACAGACAATACCTGCTCATAATTTTGGTGGACACCAGTTTACACAAGCTCATTAATTGTGGACATGCACTGCAATCCATCAGGGGTAACATACTCTGTAGCTTAAATAAAAGTCAAGAACAAACAAAGAGCACCACACTGCTGTTAAATGCTCCAAACTAATTTTCATACAGGTGTATAGCTATAAAACCTTGGCTGCTCACAGCAGAAAATCCATAGCCCTCTGGACTTCAGCACTGCACTTGAACAGCAAAAAGAATGTGAAAGCAACTGCACATCTACTCATGGGATTTACACCAGAAGGAACAATTCTTATGCTGTGTAGATTTCTAAACTGCCTCTGAGTTAAGATAAAAAAAGCCCAGACAAAACTATGGCACAGGCAACAGCCAGCACAACTTGGCCAATTTTTTTTTAAGCCTACTTCTATTAGCACTCCCTTTAGCAACCAAAGCTCATTCCTAAAAGAAAAAAATCAACCAAAAGCACCAATCATTTAATGTAACGCATTAATTCTCCCTCCTCTTACCTTGATAGCATGCTTGAGTGCATGAGCATCAAAAATATATGCTGGTCTCATCAGAGACACCATCAAGGTTTCAAACTTGCCAGTAAGTTCTGATTTCAGGTAATCCACAAGATCCTAGTGCAGAAAAAACAGTGCTGTGATGAACAAGGACTAAGCATTTTAAAAGGAGGCACACAATCTACAAGCTGAAAGACTCTGGAGACACAACAAAAAAGACAAAGGGACACCTCTCTTGTTTTAATTGGTACCTCAGTTGAAACAAATAAGGCAGGAGAAAAGGATGAACAGGCATTTGGAAAACCTGAAACACATTGTGATTTTTTTAGGATAAGGCAGGGTGGAGGAGAGAGAGAGAGACAAAAGCAAAAGTAGATTTTCTTGCAAGGGATGTTTTACTGGGACTATGGTGAATGTGCCTCATATTTTAAAGTAATCGTTGTAAGCCAGAACCAGCTCATTTCCAGAGGTATTTTTTCTTCTTACCCTGCCAAATAAGGTTTTAAAGGCAGAAGCTATTTCTTGACGCTGAGCATTGTTTCTGGTGGTGAGGATCGTCAGCACAGTTTCTTCATCAGTCCCTGAAGTCAGAAAGAACAAGTTACAAACACACTGTGAAAAACAAACTGCAGTGGCCCAAACCCAAAAGGCAGTGAAAGATGCTTTGACAACAACAGCCTACTGGCAAACAGCAGAAGCATTTAAAACAACAAATGTCACCCTACCCCAAGCTGAACCACCAAGTTTGGGGCAAAAACATGACCGGAGGGCTTAACATGTTGTTTGTTCTCTATCAGTGCTCTGCTCCAGACTCTGCTTCAAGCACCAGCTATAACATTTAGTCAGTCTGTTTTCTACAGAAAGGTCTTGCCTTTGGGCTCACCAACAAATTGCCAACTCCCAGCAAAACTCAGCCCAGCAATCCCAAACACCCCAGAAGGCAGCAGTGTGGAGCTATGACCCATTTTATAAACAAAGCATGCAAGGTAGGTCCTCCCAGCATAGCATCTTCCCAGCCCTACTGAGTTTGCCTGTAGGCTGTGGTGTATCACACATCCCTCCTTCCCTTCCTTCTGCTTCCTTCCACTTCAGAGAAAATGGCAAATCAGGAAATTTTGGGGCAGAAAGCTCCAGTGTGGGTTTACAGACCACTTCTTAGTCTGCATTCACACTGTGTACTTGCATTCCTTGCCCCAGTAACTGCACTATGCTCACACATTTCCAGGGCCAGGAGGCCGCTGCAGATTTTCTGTGCAGAGCTCCTGCCATGCTGCTGTAATTCTCCACAGCTGTCCCTGTAAATCCAGAGCTACTGCTCTGTAAAACTTTAGTGTGCCCAGAACAGCACGTGGAACATCCATTTCTTAATGGGGAATGTGCAAACCCCTTCCTTTTTCCCTCATGCTAACCCAAAAATAAACATCCTTGAAAGCTGCACAGTCATAACCAGGACACACCCAGACCAGTGTGGTCCTGGGGCTGTCATTCCATGGCTTGTAGACACATGCCCTACTCTCATCTACTGAGATGAAAAAGTAGATAAGAAAGGATGTTTGCAAAGGAGAAAGAGCCTTTTCTTTCCTGTAAAATAAAAATTATCCTTACCCAATCCCTTCATGGCCTTACGAAGGGCTTCTGCATCAGCTCTGGCATCAAAAGGAGCGAAGGCTGTCACGGTGCCTCTTGTGTACTGGGGGGGAAAAAGGGGTCAGAAGGAAAGGGAAAAAGCCATGAAATAGAATATTGCATCTTTCAGTTCATACATGAGCTCAGGCTAAGTTTGAATTCACAAGCCAAAAGTTGACTGTCTTTTCTTGCAATTGTCTGGCTAAAGAGCAGTCTGTGGGTGTTTAAATACGGCTTACTCCAGAGGCACTACTATGGCTTCATTTAGCAGTGCAGATAAATTTGGGTATGTTTATGTACCAATTCTGCAAACTACTGCTATCTCCAACACCGGAACCTGAATGCAGGGAAATTACTAAGAATTTACCATTTGCTAAAGTAAATCGAAAAATTAATTGCACAAATCATGTATGCTAGGCAAATGGCACAAAGACACTCATGGAAATAAGAACTTCTCCTCAAGAAAACCCTACTGGAACTCTCAAGCAGTACCACAACGATTTTTTCCACCATGCTGCAACCCACTGAACTCTACAATGGCTTTCAATTTTTCATCATAATGCTTTTGACATGAGCAACTTCTTAAAAAGTGATTCAGCTACCTTAGTTGTTTTTAAGTCACCTTATTTTAAATTTTAAAAAAAAAAAAAAAAAAAAAAAAAAAAAAAAAAAAAAAAACCAAAAACAAAACAAACCAAAAAAACCAGTTCAAACATAAGGGTAAGAGATCAGTTCATCCAAACACAAAAACAATTACACTAAGTTTCCACGGAACATGGCTCTTGAGGGAATTTCTCTTTGGATTAAACACAAAAGGACATTCATCATCTCTGTGGAAAAGTTTTGCCTTAAAGAGGATAGCTCAAGAACCTATATGTGTTTAGCAGAGTAGTTAATTAACTATGGAAGTGGCCAAAAGGGGAAATAGCCGGGTTTGGGGCACAGGAAGGTGCTTCCAACAGCTGAAGAGGGAAAATTTCCTGTAAGCACTGCCATAAAAACGTAGCTATCAGAAAAGGCAGGGCATTTTTCCACTCTCAAGAAAGAGCATGATAGCAAGTGCCAAGACACCTACTGAGATTGGCACCAGATTACTCCAGAGGCAGCACAGTCATCTGGCCTTCCCTGGACTTAGGAATTTCAGCCACTCCGGTCTCCAGTCAATGTACTCATCAGAGACAGGTCAGCCAGAAGGGCAGGGAGAAAAGAGCAGTAACCAGAAACTGCCCCAGGGCTCTCCCGTGTGCTCCTGCCAGCAGACTCTCCACTGCTCCTACTGCAGCAGCAGCCAAGAGTCAGGTTCACTTCTCACATTCTGACAGATCAGAACAAAAGCGTCACAGTGTTAAATGGCAACAACAGATTTATTTTTGGCAGATGGTTTTCAATAGCCAGGATAGCTCAGAAGCATGACAACCCCACTGGAACACTCTGCTTGTCCCATTATAAGCATTTTTTTTTCAGATAGCGCTTTGAATGTATTTATTGTCATCTTCCTAGCTAATACCAAAGGCTACCATGAAAGAAATCTCAAGGATTTGGGTCTCACTTTTATTAACTGAATTTAATTTGGTAAAACAGATAAAGACTGAAAAGTCTTTCCCTCCTCCTCCCTTACTACCACTCCAGCCAGTGTGGGGTTATTTATTTTATTTTTGTTCCATATAATCTCAACATAATTAATATTACACAAGTACCACAATTCTCCTTTGGAAATGACCAATGTCAACAAATACCAGAGGAAGCAGATATTGATCTTTTCTTATCTTGTTATAAGCAAATGGAATTCCCCTTCACAATTCCTACGTCTTGTGACAACAGCCCAACATTCCTGTGTGGCTGTTATAGACAAAGCATGTGTGAACGCTAAATGCCAGATGAAATCTCTCTGCGTGGCACTTCTCATTTTTATTAATAACAGGAATCCTTCAAAACTCTCATTTTCAAAGCACTGCATAGAAAGCCTGAGCATGCACTAAGCTTGATGAGCAGTTCCTGAAAATCTGGTACAGCTGAATTCTAAGACTTTTCCTGATGTCTGAGCACCATTTGCATTTCAGGCATTCCCTTGTGGCACTCAGTGGATTTTGGCTCCCCACCTGCCCCAACCACCCTCCACCAGAACCTGAGCCACACATGCCTTTAGGAGCCACATGTGGGCAGATGTGACACTCCCAACAGCTGGCCCAGTACTGGGAAAGTGTGAAGCCATCCCTAACTTCACATCAGAGCCCAACTCAACCTGAGTGCTTTTTAGAGTACTGCAGTGTGGCCTGACAACTGGGGTACAGCAGGAAATACTCCAGCACACTATGTTCAACAACCACAAATCCATCTAAAACACTCCACTATTCAAAAGTGCCCTTTTTAGTTATTCCAGTTCAGATCCCTCATTTGTGAAATACATGGACAAGAGCAGAAAGCTCTGCAGCAGTAGGATACTCAGTCCATGGAAAAGCTGTTTCCCCCTTCCCAAACATTACACATTTTGGCCATATAAAGAGAGGGCAACACCTCTTCTGAACCACCATCACAGCCTGGCCCAAACTTGCTGTCACAGCAAATCTGAAAAGGAGCTATGAACCAGAAAAAACTTCATTATTTATTTACCTCTATGAAAAGATAGCTTATCTTTAGTATCACTACAAACATTCCTTGTTGTTTAAGTAAGCAGATACACAGTAACACTACAGCCTCATAGGTCCTTTTTAATTTGGATAGTAAACTCCCCACCCAGTAGCACCCAAAGCTCATCAATGAAAAAGACAAACAGTCACTGATATAAATCCTTTTACAATCTGGAGTTATCCCTTACTCAATCACCACATCTTACACCTGCCAGTAAAATAAAAAGAGAAGCACAACACAGAAAAACTCAACACAAAGCGTATCGCAAGACTATAACACCCCAAACCCACACACATTCTTTTCTGTCTACGTTCCCCAATACAGTGATTGTTGTTAAGGAGTCATGTGTACTGCAAATGAAATTTGTGATCACACACTAGAAATAAACAGCGGCTTTCATTTTCTCCAGACACTTTCCAATGAGACCAATGAAGCTCCTAGAAACACAAAATTAGCATGAAAAGGCAGAGGCAAAAAATATAAATACTACAAAGCAAGAGATAATATTGCTTTAGAATTTATGCCCCTCCAAATGAGAAAATTCATATTCTCTGGTATTTTTGTCCAATTCTATGCTAGCAAAGGTTTCCAGGAGAAGATAAAACCTCAGGTGTAATGTTTTCTAACTAGCACCTCAAAGGGAATGTCTCCCAAGAGACAATTTAGTATCACAAACTAAAAGCGCCACATATCCTAGCAACAATAACAATAGCCACTTAATGAGGTTCCTTTTCATTTTCCTCACCAAGACACAAAATATTTCCCACCCACAAGCCCCTGTGTTTAGCCACTGTTAAATGCAGAGCATTGATATCAGCAAACAACAGAGCATACTTGAACTGAGACTCCTTCCCCACTATCATGGCTCTGTACCACGTACAGCAACTTCTCAGAGTTGCACAGATGAAGAGCACCCGCTTTCTCTGCGGCAACAGAAGCAGTGTCTCAAAAATTTGCTGCTGGAAAAACCAGTATTGAGTGTGAAGAAGGTGCTGTGAGACTTTTTGGTTTTTTCTTTTTTTAAGCAGCCATTTGTTTACAAGATGGCACAGGAAAACTGTGGAGCAGTAAGATTGGAAATGGAGAACCTTTACCAGCAAAGAGAGAAGGTATGCTATTTCCAGCAGACAGAGGAGAGCCCAGGTCATGTGCTTGAATAAATGATAGACTGCTGTAAGATGTCTTACACAAGGCCCACCTTGCAGATAAACACAACACAGTGTTCACTGCTGACCCAAAAGCCTTCAGAGCCATTGGAGCCCACACAGAGATGCCAGTTCAAACTGTGGTCTAAAACCAACATGACATGAGAAATATGCAATTACTTCCTGACATTTCAAGGGCAGTACAGTGCAAATGGCATTGTGAGTGGATGGATACAGGGGCAGAGCTGATGCAAATGCAAAACTAAAAAGACATGTCTGCAAAACACCTCTTCAAGTTTAACAGTGCTTCAGACTGTCAGCTTAAACAGGAGGAGCAAACTCAGGACAGCAGACTACTCACATCTGCCCCACTAAATTTAAACTCTTGAGAAAAAACAATTACACAACATCTGTGGTGAACTCTGAGTCAGTACACCACAGAGGTATCAAAGATAGGGAGGAGGGATGGAAAAAAAGAAAGAGGGGGTGAGAGAGAAGAGCAAGCAGCAACCATATAGGAACCAATGCACAGACATTTGAGAAACCCATCCTCACGAGTAACTGCAACAGAGCCAGAGGGGCTGCTCAGAGCCCAATTCTGAAGGAGTGTTTGTACTTTGGAATGTGAGACAGTCTTCTGGAACACTATGGAGCTGGCAATACTATCCCCGTGCTCCGAGTCACACGTGCACATTGGCAAACAGGAACTCCAGATATAGTGCAGAGCAGCCACACCTTCAGCAGCAGCAAGCGATCCTTTCCTGGCAGTTTACAAATGGACACACCAAATACTCCCAAAGTTTTATTCAGGAAAAAAATTAGGAGTAGCAGACCAAAACAGATCAGCCCACAGCACCTGCTGCTTTCTTCCCAGATTTCTGTGCCAGCAAGGACAAGGAAGCAGCTCACAGCCTGTTCACTGAGCAGGAGGAGATGGTGCCCTGTGCATTGCTGCAGTAACAAAGACCACTGCACACACAGCTGGGAGAGAAAGGGCAGCTTGTCAGGGCAGCAGTGCTCCCTCAAAGAAAGCAGATAAACACAGGCAAGGAGAGACCAGCCTGTGCAGCACACACTGTAGTTTTCCTACAAAATGAATGAACCTTTCTGTTCTGGATAGTGAACACACAAAGTTCCTCAGGCCTTTGGGCAAAGGGAAAAAAAGGCTTCACAGAACTGGGCAAGGACAGGTAATTCAGTGACCAAGACTCCAAATATAACTTACCTTCTTCAAAGGTTTTATTCTTCAGTCATGTACCTAGGCTAAATTGAACTCCAGTACACTGTGCTGTGCAGCCTTTGTGAACTCTGCAGCTTTAGTTGCACACAAGGAGTTTCTGTCAGTCAGCATTTCATGGGCATTTTCACTCTTACCTCCATTTCATAATGCATCATATAGAACAGACAGCTCTCATGAGAAGTGGAGCTTCTTTCAACTTTGTTTTTTTATTTTCATAAAATAAGTTACAGGCTACAATGCTTTAACACTCTTGGTCTTTTGTGGCTGCCTAACTGCACAGGCAAAGAATACTACTTACATGAAAAGCAGCCCTCTGAACGTGGAAAATTGGAGAACAAGGCCTCCCTAATAAAAACCCTCATTGTTCCACCGACTTCCACCTACCAACATCCACCACAGATAAAAAGCCATCCCCAAGTGTCACCTTAGGCAGTAGAAAACTTACTACCTGAAGCCAAGGGTAAACAGTTTGCACTAGTGAAGAATGAAACATTCCTGTTAAGAAGATGAACAAAAGTTTGTCTCTGTGGGACAGAGAAGAATATTGTCAATTTCCATGCTTTTACTAAAAGGAAGTTACCCTTAAGCCTATAAGCAATGCTATATATACTGTAATAAAAGGCTTATTGTCCAAGTATATCCCTCTGGCCAGGTGTCCCGCATTGGCATTGGTAAGGGCTCCTGTTCTCCTAACACGCATCATACAATCCAGGCCCAATGTTTAGAGAAAGAAGAATCCCTTCTTTGTCACTCAAAAGAAAGCCCCCAAAAAAACCACAACTTCAAGAATTTAGAAAAATACTGTTAAAAACTTTTTTTCTTTAAAAGAAGTTCCCTTTCTTTTATAACTAAATCCAGACTTTATATCAGTAAATATTAACAAGGGTATTAAAACTACTAATCACTCCACTCATTAAGTGCAATTATTCTGACCTTTGTGAAAGCCCTAACAGACTCTGATTACTTCCACTTCCTACAGCAGTACAAACCCCATAAAGCCATTACAAACCCCTACAAATAAGCCATTAAATTCCTATTTTACTTTTCAGAGTGTATGCATTTGGTGCAATTACAGAAACAAATGCTGGAGTCTGTTTCATTTTTCAGACCTTCATCCAGGCTCAAACCACAGCAAGCAAAAGGCTGCAAAACAAAGTCCCCAAACGAAGAACTGCACTATAGACTGAAGGCTCCCAGAAAAAAACATGTTAACTATGGGAAAACTGGGAATGGAAACACCGAGCCCTGAGCCCCCACTGCCAAGGCGGTATTTTTTTTTATCCTTCCTTTCAGTAGAAGAAGCCTCCACCCATGCGCAATATAAACACAGAGTACCGAAAACTTGGCCAAATTAGTGGAGACTAGTGGAAAAAAGGAGAAGGAAAAAAAAAAAAAAAGTTGTGCTTGACGTGTCCCTCACATGATCCCCGTCCCCCTCCCGTCCGCGTCCGCCCCAGCTTGGGGATGGGCTGGTTTGGGGGAGCCCGAAAAGAAATCGGTGAGGAGTGAAAACAAGGAGAGGGATAATACGAGGATGTCCCCAGGAGCGGCCGGGCACGGGCCGTCGGGCCGTGTCCTCCCGGAGCCGCCTTCCTCACCTTCGCCATCTCTGGGATCCTCCGGGTGGGGCCGAGTCCGAATCTGCAAAGAGAGATGCGACAGTGAGGGACCGCGAGGAGGAGAAAGCGACAGCGCCCGCCCGCCTCGGCTGCCCGCGCCCCTCACCTCCCGCAGAACCGCCCTGAGCCACCAGGAGCACCGAGTGAGGCACCAAGCGGGGCAGGAGCGAAGAGGGAGGAGGTCCCGCCGCGGCCCCGCCGCTCTTGCCTCACCCGGGGGCCGGGCCAGCCCCACCCGGGGCGGGCAGCGAGCCTCGGCCGCCTCCTGGGCCCGCCTGCAGGCCGGGCACCGCGGGCCGCGTCCCGGCTTTCTCCTCCATCCCTGCCGTGCCCGGGAGGGTGGCGTTAGTGCTTTGTTCCTTAGCGTCGTGAACCTTTTAAAAGAAAAATTACATTTGCCGATAGACAGCCTCCAGCAGGTGCTCAAGCGCCCTCCGGATGAAGTCTGTATAACATCGGTTCCCACGAATCTGAAAGGGATCCTACCCCAGCACTAAAGGGCAAGTCTGAACTGAATTCGGTAAAAAGCAGACATTTCATCAGCTGACCTAGCTTGGCTTCCAAGTCAGCCAGGTTAGCACAACAAGCACAGTGTTGAACAGAATGTTTGGGCTCTAGTTCTCGACTATCAGAAACTGCAAGCATTTCAGGCAACAACACTTATTTACTTCTTGTCTTCCAGCAGGACCACTTCCCTGGCCCAGGAATAGGGAAGATCTATCTAGTTTAGGACAGCAAGGAGGATGCAGTCTGCATGGCTACTCAGGAGCTGCTCCATCTAAGCTGCAGACAGACTCACTCCCTCAGCCACACAGCCTTGAGTCAGAAGAAAGGAAAAGTGACTGCAATGCAAATGGAATTCACTGTCTCTGCCAAAATAAAACACGAACATAATCCTGCTGTGTGAGCATTTTAACATGTAACAGCCACTTCTGTCTGCAAGTAAGTTGCATTTACCTCACAAAAGGCAAGAGAAACATAGATCATTATGTATATTTAAATATTTTGCGCAGCATTTCTTGTTGCCCCAGCAGTGCACATACAGTTCAGCAAAAACACAGGATCCACCCATCTGGCTTGATCTGCAGGACCAAGGAACAAACTGTTTGCTAAAATGTCCTGATTTACTCTGATTTAAATCTAATCCATTGAAGTGGCATTCCACACATGCCCAAAGATACACGAAGGGAATAGAGAGCTGCTCATAGCATGCATGTGAAAATGCACATATGGATTAGATGTAGAATCACAATATTAAAGAAAACATTATAGAGTATTGTTCAAAAAAAGAGCAGTTGATATTCAAACCAGTTACTTTTAATTTAAGCACAACATTGCTTGAACACCTACACCTTTTGGCAAAATCAAGTCTTTCTCTCCTACATCATACCCAGAGAAGACACAGGCCACACTGGATCATGCTTCAAGATTACCATCTAGAGAGTGCAGACATAAGGAAATGCAGTGAGAGGTAAAACCTCTCTGTTCAACATACTCCAAAATTCTGTCAATCAGAATGAGGGACGTGAACATTGTAGTAAAGGCTTTTTGAGTGCCACATGGAAGTCAAACCTCATTAGTCAACCAGATGTGTGATAAAGAAAAAAAATTTGGGTGATGCAGAAACCTAAAAAAAGCTGTATCGGTATCATGTGAACAATTAATGAGACTCTAGGAACTAATAAATCTGTAATCATCACTTAGAAATATGTTAATAGAATCTCTACTACAGTAAATGCCACACAAAGGTCAGTTAAGTTACTTTCCTTGACACAAAAATACCTATTAAACTTCACAAATAAAACAAACCCTTGCATAACTTGGAAAAATGTGTCTGTTTGTCTGACAAATTATTTAGCAGTTAGCATAGGACCACCTGGAATGCATCTGCTCTACCTCCCTCCCTTGCTATAGCAAGCCCATCCCAGTGCCACAATCCAAGGTTTGAATCCTTGGCTCCCTGAAATGCTGGATATGGTTTAACCCTGGCATGATGACGCACAATTCCTGCTATGCTAAAAAATCTGTTCCAAGTATGTCATGTGTATAATAGCACATTAAGAGGCAATGGGGGGACAGCTTGGCTTTTTACTTTTCAATCTAGGAGAACAGATTTTTCTGGATTACAGGATTTTTGTTTTCTATGCCTTCTTTGGTATCCTTACTACTTTATAGCAACTCTCAGATTCACAGAAATGATCCAACATATGTATTGAATTGCATTTTGCCCTTCAAACATTGTGTTGGGGGCTGTGGATTTGGAATCAAATTAAGACATGCCTTTTATTCTGCAGTAAATGTCTCTGTGTACACTTCGCTTCTCATTTCCAGGGGCAGAAATCTGTTCTATTCAAAATCAAAATATTTGAAATGGTTTTCCACTCTTCTACCTTCAACCAGCTCATTATTCTGTTCTTTGCGAACAAACACGAGGTAACATTCAGTCACTGGGAGGCTACCACTAGATTTCTAATCTGTGAATAACAAGGAAAAGAATCTTGGGAGTGAGAACACAGAATATTTTTCTACTCTGGAAAGGGTCTGTAATGCATGATCCAAGATGAATTGCAATGGTAGGAAAAGGTTAAACAGAGAAGAGAAGGATCTTCTTGCCAGCAGCTGACGCTGGGAGTAAAACCCACTCCAGTCAATCTAAAATGTTATCAATGTGTGTTTAAGCAAGGGAATATTTACATAACTTCAATAAGCAAAGAGGCCTGGAGGAGCAGGGGGAAATGGTAGAGTAAAAGCATGGGAAAGACTTGTCAGGCCATTTGGCAAGAGCAGATGTTTGAAAAGAAAATAAATCTGATTATTACAGAATTTCAGCCTTTGCATCGATTTGAATGCAAAAGGAAAAGGCAGGAATAGCTCTGTGAGCAAATCCAGGATGAACCTGAAGACATGAACATGTGCCTGAAGAGAAATGCATTTTGTAGTGATTGCCTTCAGCAGAAACAATTCAAGTTAGGCTAAAACAGTTGGAGATGATGACTCACCTGCACCAGCTGCAGGACCTTCATGGCCACTGTGGGCAGGTGTTTCACCTGACAGCAGCTCTAACAGTCAATAGTGCCCACACACCAGTCACAAATAAGCCTTGTAGATTTATTATAATTCTTTTCCTCATTTTTTAAAAATGAAGACAAATTTTTACACAAGTTAAGAAACCACGTGAGGTCATAGGAATATTTTTCACCTTCCAAGCACCTCCCTGCTCTTCGAATTTCAATCACTAGTAAAATCATACCAGGACGCAAGAGTCTGCTTCCCAGGGCTGCTGCTGGCACAGTGCACTTCCAATTCTTCTTTAACACAGAGCTGCAAACACCTGGAATGAAAAACAGCAGTAAAATATCAAAAAAGAGTGGCTTTGCCTTAATAGTATATTTAGTTCTGGCACACACTGAGACTTTGCAAGCAGGGCCCTGTCAGTTCCCAATCCATTTCAAGGCACAAGACTTGTCCATACAGAGTGAAATCCTGGGGTTGTAGCTGCACAGGAAGGCAAGGAGTGCATGCAGCAATCATCAGATTTGTGAAATAATGAACTTGATATGGGGTTCCTAATAAGGGGCTTGAAAATATTTTCAGAGTCTGGTTGCAGCACTAAAACACATATGTGTGTTTTTCTGGAAACAATGGAGAAGTCCAGGGGGATGAAAAGTTAGCACAAAAGCAGTGCATCTCAGAAGCACAGCCCTTTGAAGTTGCTTTGAGGAGTTTGCAATAAATAAATAAATAGGAAGATGGATGGTTTGCTGTATCAAGGCAGTCTCCCAGCAGGTCCTCATCTCCTGCCCAAAAGCATTGTGCCTCATTTTGCTACCAATGCTATTCCTGAGCTGTTATGTGACCCTACATAACAACCTTTAAATACATCACAGAGGAGAATAAAAGAGCAAGGCCCTCCTTATAGCAGAGTTTTCTCTGCTATGTACCCAGAAGCTGCTGAAAATGCAAAGACCCTTCAATTTATCAAACTGAGTTGGAGAACAGGAATCATATTAAAGCACTTCTCACACAGGATAGAAAGGCCCAGGTCTGTCATTGTCCTAGTTAAAATATTTCCTCCTAAAAGTAAAATCCCATTGCAAAATACTTTAAAAGCCTATTGTAGAGGTACTGAAGGGCAATAGGCTTACCAAGGGAGATTTTCAGGCTTTGGAAATTTCATGGAGCAGACCATTTCCTTATGGAATTATAAATCAAGATAGACCCTTAATGCTTTTCCACACTTTAACATCTCTATGGAAGTGAAAGAGTCCAAAATCCTTGATGAACCACTGTCAGAAGCAAAGGTGAGGGTGGGAAAAATAGAGCTGTTTCAAGTGCATTATTTGATTAACACTAAGAGAGAAAACTGTTTTGTTCCAGACTTGGTGCCAGAGGATAGAAATTTCCCAGTGCCTTGTTTCCCTGAGCTCCTACTCGAGGGCAGCTCAGCACAAATGGAGAGAGCTTGGTGCTGCACTCCAGCACCTTGTGGGTGGAAGATATGAGGCAACACTAAGCAGTAACACCATTAAAATAAGGGACAAGAGAGAAGAGTTTTGCTGGTTTACAGACGGGGAAAAAGAACTTCGACGTTTAACACTGACAAAGTTTATAAATTCTTTCCCTGCTGCATGTGCTGGCATCAGGGGGCTGCTGAAAGACAGGCTAAGAGTACAAAGTACAAGATTTTGTTGTTTCTTAAAGCACTTTGAGAGTTGCTTTGGAGACTAAATGTTGTTTTATATTCCAGCAAAGACAACTTCCTGTAAGTGATTCATTACTTCTAATCCACAACCCATTACAGAGCAGCACTCTGACAGATCCTTGATTTCTCTGGGGACACCAGTACAATGTGAAGAGGTTAATGGGAGGTACAGGCATTCATGCCAATTACAGCAGCAGGCAGCTGAATTTCTCTTACTGGAAAACGATGTTATAATAATAAACGATGTTATTTTCATTTACTCAGAGGAGGTGCAGGTTTCTTTGAAATTGTCTTTAGAGTAAGACACATCACAAGGTTGCCTTCAGTGCAATAATCTCAATTCAAGAAAAGACAAATCACTTGAGCCAGATTCTAGTCCTTGATGCTACTCTTGGTTACCAGGACAGCTCTACAGCACTATACTAAGGCAGGACTTGATTTCCAGGCTAATTCTTCCTGAGGAACACAGTTTACATCCCTCATTACTAGTGATATGGACTCCTCCTATGGGGAAAGGAGGGAGAAAAGGAGCCAGGTGCTCAGGCTATATT